GATAAATGCCCCAGGATAGAACAGGACATGTCATCCTTATGCTTATCCACCAGTGAAAGGTTCATAAATTTACAATCAGCAAGACATGTGGGCATGTAAACACATTATTATCCAATGTAATATTACCGCTACTTCAAGGAAAATCACTAATGAAAGTGACTTCTTCAAAGTCGTCTGTCAAAATGACACCTGCTTTACAGGTGGGGCACTGGATTTCATGAAGATGCTTGACACAACAATTTCCTAAGCATGAATGAGACACACAGAGTGACAACTAGTTACCATTTACAACACCACACAATGTTGACTGCCTTGCAGAATTCCCCTATACTATAATGCTTGACTATCTATCAACCTGGGCCCAGATCAGGGGGGGGGCATCATTCCACACAGGAGGAAAAAAATTCCAAGGGTTCAGTCATAAAAAGTCTCCCTTTTCAATGGAGACAGCCTGGACAGGTTAGCTGGCTCAACATGATTTATGAGGGGATTTTATAGCCTGTTCTTTTCAAGCAGATATACACATGTACATGTAACTGTAGTTGTTGGAAGGTCAGCCCAGCTATTTTTGCACAAAGAGGCAGAAAAAAGTGTCCTGGTAGTCATCTTCATCATTAGCACCCTCTTAATTACAAGTAAAGCCATCCTCTTTAATGAGAGCATCTTGCAACTGCCAGTTCATTGGCTAGCAGACTGACTGATGAGTTAGTTATGTACTTAACATGCCTTCTACAGCTCTAACATTTGATTGTCACAATGATTGGGTCTGTTGGGGATGCTTCACCCAAATCTGATTGAGCTACATGTATTTGGATACAGTTGATAAATTTAATAACAGTTAAGCGTACTCAATTTTCATAATTGCTCACATACTGGTACCAGATGTGGATTGCCATGAATCAAACAAGAATACTCTTCAATTCAAACGATGGTTTTGATGCTCAATAACTGATAGACACACTTCCCAGTGGCAACGCCTCAACATAATTGAAAAAAAAAATTCTCCAAACTTGCACACCACATTCCGAACATATCATATCCAAATCAAACAGGTCAAATTACACGCACACAGTGATTGGCGACACAAAAGGCCTGCACGAGCCCACCTTGTTTGTTTGACTTACTGGACTCCAGTCCCAAGTTTTTTATCTGCCAGTTCTTTTTTGGTTAATCGGTATCAAATTACAGTATTTGAGTGAATGACGAACCTCAAGTGCTGTTTACTTTGACACAACCGGTCTGTCGAGGAGTAAATTCTACATTCACCCTGGGATCGTGTCGCTCGGCAAACTTGTTGGGGGCAATATTCTGCAATTGTTATCACCCTTTGATGCTCTTTTGAATTGATAAGGTCTCAAAAACTTGGAAGGGGGGGGGTGAGGCATGGCAACGTGGTTAAAAGCATGTCATCTGATATGTGTACATCAGTTTGATCCCTTTTATCCAAACAGGAAGAAGGACAGAATGCAGGTGTGGCACACCATTGGTGTAATGTTCTGGCAAGCTATATGTAAGAGCTGCAATGCTTAATTAACAGGACAAGTTGCTTAATAAATCCTCTGGAATATTTCAATAATGCCAAAACATATACTGATCTTGCCATCCAAGATAAGAGGTGGTAAATGGCTAGACCAAGAAAATTAGCTGTGTGAGGATTTGACTAAGCCTGTGAGCTCCAGTTTATGAAACATTTGTTGGAATATGAACTATTTTTACTTGAGTGAAGGTCAACCTTTCGTAGTGCACAAGAGTTTCACACACTTTTGAATAAAACAGATTTGTGATAAGAAGTGCAGAATCAGAATTTTGAACTTGAGTGTGAAGGGCCACTAAGGTGCATGCTTTCTACAGACCTGATTTTTCAAGGATGTCGGCTTTATATAGCAGTAATGTATGGTACCTTCCCTGACACACAGAGACAAATTCTTATTTTTCATAAGAATTTGTCATAAGGGCATGACACATTAACTGATGTGATCAGTATACTCCATGGCGCAACACAAGTAATTTAATATAGGGGCAGCAAAGGGTCAGCGATATCATTCTGGAATTATTCACTTCAAGTACTGACAACCAGATACCAGAATGTAACCCATGTCTGACGCTATTTAAATCCCAGTCTTTTTAAAATCACAGTAGGAATAATGAATCACTGTAACGAACTGCCTTAAGTCAAATACACACCTTGTACTACAGTCACCTGCTCACTTCCATACTACGGAACTTACAGGCAAATGTGAGGAAATTTCAATATCTCAAACTAAACGTGAATGTACAAATAACTTGGCACATTTCCCTGACCATCAACACCTCTGGACAAAAGCACCAACTTATGCAGCACACTCTTTATGGTTGTATCCATCCACCAAACTGCTCGCAAGGTTACACACAGAGCATTGACTCACTCCAAGCTCGGTAACATAACAGTTTAGACAAAACCCCAGAGCAAAACAGTCAATATTATCGCTAGAGGAGGCTGCGTGCCTTCTTGACTTTTGAGTGGAGTGGGGAAAAAATCAATATGGGCGAACATGCCCAGAAACAATGGCAGAGACTGAAGGACTGGGAGGGAATCGATAGTGACTAACTGGGGGGTGCTTAGGGCTAATCGAAGGTATCCTTTGAGTTGTGCATGCCGCAACAAATGGCAGAACCAGTACTCAAGATAGTCTAAATGCTCTTGTTTAATCAATGGTTTGAAGTTTTACATGTGGGTCTCCCTTCTGCGAGGTGATGATGTGATTGCACTGCTGAATGACCAATGCATAGGCCTATCACTTGAGAAAAGAAAATTCCTGAGAAATCAAACTCATCACAAGCAACATATTTTGCAGGGTTAAAAAGTCTTCAAAAGTACTTTTAATGGTAAATTACATGTACTAGTAACTAAATATTGATCCATATGCACTCTTCAACAATTCAAAGTACAGTAGCAAGATCACTATGTCTCTGGAAAAACAAGAATACTTTTGAATATTAAATATGACCCTTGTTTGCACTTTTTTTGGATTTTATAGAAATTCCAGAAGAAAATACTGCCCATGATGAACCACAAATCTGGCATGTAAGATTTAAATGGATCAGGAAACCATACTGACCACGTCCTTTGACAGGTTACAATTTTTTTCAGAAACTGCCTCGAGGGCCCTTCACAAATGGAGACAAAGATGAATGCTCAGCGTAGCAAACTTTGCACAAGTCAACTGTATAGAGCACAAGTGATGTCATGGTTGGTTACTTTCATTGAGTGCCATTTTTGAGTTTGCTGAAAAATTTGGAATGGGCGGAGCTTGGACGGGCAAAAGAGGACAATAGCTGGAGTTAAACTGGTGGCAAATTTCTGACGAATCAAATACTGTTGAGAACTGATACAACTGTCAGGACTGTTGGATGTAAATTTCTATTCCTAAGTTGAAGGTCACAATTCTTACATACAAATATTCTGCATTAGTGGATGAGACACAAATGAAACTGAAATGGAAAAATGCCAAATACTGTACAGGCTCCGATACCTACATCTGTTTGTGGTTTGCAATGCACTGAAAAATTTAATGACTTAATGGGAAAACTAAGGCAGGCTTGCAAAGAAAAATAAAAAACGGGCAGGAAATAATGTGAGAAAAAACTGCAGAAATTAGAATGCTATAAAGAATACAGGTAAGGGTCAAGGCGAGTACAGGTAAAAACGTTAAAAATTAGGATTTTGTGTATTTATCAGTAAACAGTTGACATTTCATCCACAAATGTCATTTATTTTGAAGCATGCATAATTCATGGCCATTAAGACATCATTAATGCAGAGTGGAGTTTGGAATTGCATGCAGGAGGAGTTCAAGTGGAAAGTAATGAGCATACCACCTGTAGAGTATCACATGATCCCACGAAAGAGGCTCAACCATACAATTCTCTTTCAACTTTCTGAGTACAGGGAAATCTATTGAGTTGTTTAAACTAAATAGCCCCATTCCAAAGGGAAACATGAGAAACACACTGTACAGCTGTGAAAAAGAAAAAGAAAAAAGATAAAGGCGCCTTTCCATATGTATTTCAGCACTTGTGCCAAGCATTGCGTGTATGTCAAAATCACTCTTGGAGCGATTTTAACGGCCAAAGGCAACACATACGTCTGTTATATTAATGGAGTCGATTTTTGTGTCCTTGAAAGAGAAACGCATGAATGCAACCTCTACGCAATGCACCCCCAAAAACATACATGAGGTGCCTTAAAAAAAACAAAATGAGGAAATTGCACATTTTTTAGCTCGGAGTTGGACAGGTAAAACCTGAGAATTCTTTCTGACATGACATTACATTTGAAACGGTCATTCACAAACTCACAAAATAGTGCCATACAGTATTTGCAAACAGTATTTGCAGACATGGATGGTACTGGTATAGCAATGACAAGAGTTGCATGTATTACATATATCAGTAGATTTGAGTCTGAATGTCAATCCTTAAAGCAATCATAATTATTTTACAGAGAATGCCCCAAGAAAACATCAATGTGCCAGCTTAGATTTACAATTTCTAGAGTAAATTTGAAAAAGAAAGAACATAGTGACATACATGTACAGTTTTTGCAAACATGGATGGTACCGGTAGGCTACAGCAATGACAAGAGTTAGTAGATGTAGTTTTGAATCTGAATGTCAATCCTTAAAGCAATCATAATTATTTTACAGAGGACGCCCAAAGAAAACATCAATGTGCCAGGACAGATAATTTACAACTTTCTAGAGTAAATTTGAAAAAGAAAGAACACACACAAAAAAACACCATGGGACATCATCAGAAAAAGCCTCACTGAGATTTTGACCTCAAATGTAAGCATGTTGCGGAGGTTACTTTGGAATAAATACCAATGACTTTACTGCACATGAAAAAATTGAGCACTGACTGTGACAGCTCTAAAGAGTACCATGCAAGCTCAATCGGAGTTCGAGTCACACTCAGATTGACAAATAAGCACCCAAATGTAACATCGGAATTTCCCTTACCTGTGACTTGGTGTCTCTGTCTATGAGCTGCAGATCATCATGGGGGAACCTGTCCTGAACCTGCTGCAAACGTATCTCATTCTCCAAGATGGTCACCTCATCTTCCCGCTCCTTCACCATCTGGGGGGGGGGAGGAAGAGCAAGGAAGAAAAAAATGAAACTAATTGATGAAGTTTAATAAAACAGACACATCGATTTTACATGCAGGTTTTGCATGGCACTATGACACTACAATGCCTGATGGCCAGTGTCTACAAATTTCAGTGGTAAATTTTCAACTGGCCATTTGGAGTCTACTGTACATGTATTTCAGAATGTTCGTCAAATGAAGTCAGATCTGGATTGCAATCAGTGATCCTTATACTGGTTTGCACCATCCATTGGGCGAGGTTTGGTGTCTGTAAACCAACGACGGATTGCTGATCTCGATCCAGATCCGTGTGAAGCAAACACTGCCTGAATTCATGACAAGCACATTTTCAGCAAAGCCAATCCTGAAGCAAAAGCCAATCTAATCTGATGCACACAATAGCTAGAGTATGCCCTATTCTCAATTCCTGCTTAGCAGACAAGCAATGCTGTAAGCAATTCTGTGGATCTTTTTTCTGTCTGTCAAGCTGGCCACTGAACCTCAATCCTGTCTGTAAATTGCTTAAGTTCTAGTTTAGGAGTCTAACCAGTTTACCTGTCGTTTGGAAACTGTAAAACACTTCTTAGTGAAAGCTGAATAGAGCCTACGGCCGAATTTCAAAACTTGAGCAACCTTCAACATTTTGGATCTAATCTGGATCTGAAGAGTTACCGATACATGTGGAGTCTGCCGAATTCTTCATTCCTTGTGCAAAGTCTGACTGACTGTCTGAGATACTACTGAAGCCCAGGCAATGAGGATGCCTTTAAATACACATTCACCACAATCATCTCGGACCATTTTCGGCAGCAATAAAAATGGTGTATTCAGGTGTATCCAATAATTGTTGTGAATTTGTGGAAGTAAACAGACTAAATGACTGGAAAAACCACAATACAAGTATTTGTACTGAATACAGGTAGCTTTCATTTCATTCAAATGATCACAGTGGGCATAAAAGTAAATTCCTAAAAATCCTTAAATTAAGAAGCTCATTCAAATTCCACTCTTCTGTACACATAGTATAAAAATGGTTCCCTGAAGTGGTACGGTACGACAGCAGTACTCACCAAAGAAGTTTCCAAAAATACAGGAAGACACAGTTTGGTCCTCACAGTAGCGAAATGACAAAGTTTCAGGAATTCTTACAATCAACCGAGGCTCTCTGCACTGTTTTCAGCTTGCATAAAGAATGCAGACAACCAAGTGTAACATACATCATATCGTACCGGGTATCACACATGTAGAGTGAGCTCCAAAACAAATGTGTACAGTGACTGGTACTGGTTAGGCCCATCAGTCAGAAGGGTTGCTAGTATTCCACTGGCAACTTGCTGCAGCGATTGGATTAGCCAAGTTTATCAAACTGATAAGGGGACAATAAAATATCCCAAGAGCAAACTCCCTGCTGGTGAAGGTGGTGTGGTTTTTATGGGCATGGTGCTAATCTCCTAATTGAGTTGGAGTGGGCCCAACATTTGTATACAGCTGTGAGCAGGTTATAACTGTTTTCAATTAGGTCCTGTAATGTGCAGTATTTCCTCGCCCTATTGCCCTTTCTGTAGCCAGGTACATGCAGATAGACAAGTGTAGATCTCAGGCACAGTTCCATTTATTCAGGTTTTAACTCTTCAATTTTTACCAGCGTAATGATAACTTATTTCATGAACGAGTATGTGTGAGGTGTCCACACGTGGTTCAACTTGGGTTAGGTTCCTCTGATTACATGTTCATTTAAGTTGAGCCTATGATGGTGTTAATTGAATAGCCGTAAATAAATTACTTCTAATAGGAATGGCATGCTTATGGCAATATGAGATATGAAACATTCCAAAGGGGATGAACAAAATGGGCAAAAAATCAAGCCAATAGGGATACCAACTGAAGAAGCTCCATTTCTTTTTAATAAAGTAATTATCACGCTACGCCTCTATTAATATCTAATCTGCATATTTTCCAAGCTTAAACCATAGATCACGATACATCTTATAAGCCAGTGCAAAGCATCTGTGCCATGGTTACAGTTTCGTTATCGTAAATACCCAGGTTCCTCGCTGGGTGATCTTAGTGTTTTAGCAAAACCGCCTTGTTGTTTTCAAACAGCTAAAGCTGGATGGGCAACAATTATATGTGTAAATAATCTGATGTTTGATGTTACATAACCTATAATATGGCTGGCAGTTACCATAAGTATGACACTCCAGGCCATAGGATCATGAATACCATAGCTGGGTCTTATGATAAGAACTCTTGCATGAGCTTTATTTGTGTATGATAACCTGCATTAAAATCAATCTACCTCTGGGTCCAATAAACTAGATCTTTTTCACCACCAACTACCAGACTGTAAAGGTTGTGATGTTGAGTATAAAACTCACCACATATTGCCATTGGAGAACCCAGTCCAATGTCTTACTATTTTGAAACAACCAGTACATGTGCCGGTGTGACAACAAACTTTCCAAACAGGCTTTTAGCCGCTTTGGGGAGCAGCCAAAACGAACGGGCCTGTTTCGGCCACCAGAGTTTGAACAACTGTCTGTTTTTTGGCTCCTTTATCAGCTCAAATAGTAGGGCACAATCCTTAGTCCACATAGTGACTAGGAGCATGTTGGTGGCATTTTGAACGTAAGCTCCAGCCGCCTACATGTACATGCAGCCCTGATCAGAAGGATTATCCCTCCAACACACAAGGCTTCACAAGTATTTGAGGAAGCTTTCTGGAAGATTTTTTTTGGGGGGGGGGATGTTGGAAGCTCTGTACACATTCCAGACACATGTACTACAGAGGCGTATGCATTACATCATGCTGTACATACAGGTGTGCATATAAATACAAACATACACATTCATACATACAGTACATGCACACCAATACAAGTAAATTTGATGTACTCGTAAAAATTGCTGACAAATGTGTTGACTCACTTCAGAAATACCCAGGAAACTTCAGCAGAACATGTTGATATGCGGTGTTCAATAACTTCATACAAAATGTGACCAATCGATCCCAGCATAGTGTTCTGTTCCGGCTGAAATTCAGCTGACAAAAATGCTTCTAGGGAATGGTGTACATGTATCATGAGTATGAGAAGGTTCTTTAAAATGAGGCCAAAATGACATCCCAAGGTGAATGCATCCTCCCAGCAGTCTATTGACTCTACATCCAGCTACCTCTTTGATTCTCTGAAGGTAACCAGCTAGCAGATAAGCATGGACACTGGGGGTCTAGTTTTAAGCTGTGTGCTTAAGGGGGACTTGGCCAATAATGTACATATTTAATGTTCAGATAATGTACATATTTAAAGATTAGATACAGTGGGGGAACATTGAGACTAGATTGGTATGGATACAGAGGGACATATCCGCTGCCCTCGACTGCCAAGTTGATGATTGGATATTTGGAGTTTTAAGGAAACATCTATCTGAAGTTAGCAACCACCTTCAAGAGGTAAGGGCCTGGTGTTATACAATATATGTAGAAATTTCAGGATTGGCAAGAGGGAGCACAAAAATTCACCAAAGCCGAGTGGTGCAAAGTACATGTAAACGTCATTCTGACTTACATGTAAGTTTGAAGATGAATAAGAGGGAGAATGTGCTGGTAACACAATTGGCTATCATTACAACATGGCTGCTCGGAGAGAACGACACAAAACAGTTAATTCTTAATTAACTTGATCAAATTATGTTTGGTCTACTGAAACATTTACTGATTGACTGAGGTGATTTATTGATAGACTGATTGTACAAACAAATTGATTGATATAAATTTTTTATGCTTTGGACGTTTTCAACTACATGTACATGAACCTGCATTTCCAGGCTTTAATCAATTTTGATATGATGCTGGTTTATTTGTGCAACATAATGATTTCGCATCACTTCCCTTTTTTGACAGGGAGCCATGGGAGATCAGTGCATGCTACCTGCACTGAATGGAATACCAAGTTTCAAGAGGAAATGAATGAAAGTGTTCTGGATCCAATTAGCCAGAAAACTATTACATGTATAACCCTGGGCAAAGATTTACCAGTAATACAGATTCTTGTGTTTCACACCTGTTGGTGTTGATGAGCAGATTGGCTCAAGGAGAGACAGTGCATGTGGAGCTGGAATGAGTGTGATATAAGACAGATGAAGAGAAAACTGGCAGGATGCACAACAAAGAATCTGATAAACCTAACATTATCAGCAGTAGTGCGCAGACTGAACATGATGAGGGAATACTTTAATGAGAATAGAAACATTTTCCACATGTATACGTTTTTTCCCTGACATCTTCCAGCTATGTGTACAGAAATTAGCAACCACTGAATCAGAAACAATTTTAAGTAAATGCAACTGGGATATTTGCTGGCTAAAGTCTCACTTTGTGAGAAGTGTTTACCAGCAAAAATACTGTGAGAATGAACAAGTACTGTACATGTACATGTATGTCCTGCGTACATGTACAGTATATGTATACCTCCTCAGTTTTAGGAGGCAATGCACAAATTGTCTCCATCAGCGAAATGGAGCCCACTTGCACAGTACACTCAGACATGTGCTGTACCGGTATGTAGATGGTAGACAAAAATCTTACCATTCTGACGTTACGGGCTCCTTGGCAGACATCGCGGTAGTCCGGATGGCGAGGTGGTGTGTGGTCATAATACTCGGACAAGTACTTGTCATACTGGGACACACGCTGGACCTGTGGAATGGGAGCAGAGCGCAAGTCCCATTAAATATACATGTACTTACTGTGCCAATAGGGTATCCTTCATTGACATCCAAGTTCTAATATCATTTTGCTTTGTTTCTTGACAGGATTCCGATCAGAGCGCCCGCAGATGAGATGAGGCCACTGATGTTCCGGTTCACACTGTACATCTGAGCAAGTTACACCCATGAGATAACTTAAATGAAAGCTCAGCCTTTGTTAATTATGAGCACACACACACGTGCGAAGGAACTTGTGGTTCTGATCCATGAAGGAGCAAATCAGACCAAAATAATTGAATGTAGCATGCTCGGCCTCCAATTAGCTGCCCTAATGAACTGACGTCTGCAGCAGCGGAGAGCCCATTCAGACGTTGGTAGCGAGGCAACGGAGGCATCTTCAAAGGCAGGGACTGCAGTCAATTTACTAAGTGAACCGCAAATCCGAGTCAGCTGGTTCTGGATACTGGGATTCTGCATCTCTCTTCATGAGCATTCGGCTTCTCATGCAAGTACATGTACATGTACAGTATGTCTGATATTACTTTTGGAAGACGCATTTTGCTGTAATGAAGAGGAGCTACCAATATGTGGGAAGTTGCCAACGTCAGTGAAGAGACATTTAAACTCGGATTTTATTGTTTCAATGAATAAGAACAGATGCAAACTCTAAGTTGTTAATTACCATAGCCTACATGTATGTGATGATCTGTCCTTTTAAATGGAACTCAACAAATTGATGTCCAGCATGGTACACTTTGTGCTTTCCTACACTAGTAAAAAGAGTACAAAGTGAATGAATGAATCTGTGCTGGTAAATACTTAATTTTTCACATACATGTAGCAGTCACAGTCAGCAGTCGGTGGCAAAGTGCCACTGTCCTTCAATCTTCCAGTGCTATTATACAGTATCACAATCTGCCTACACTGCACCATTTTTTAATGGATTCAACTTGACCTTGTTCAAGAGTCCAAGGCTGTTGGGTTTACATCTTCTGCCTTTTATTATATCTTGGGTTCTGGTTGAAAGACTCTGGCCAAGAGTTTTTATTACATACATGTACATAAATTAAATGAAAGACTGAAAAGTAAATCTCCACATTTTGGACAAATTTTTGTTATCTTGTTTTTGCAATGGCCTGACTGCCCCGGCTTTGCCATGTTATACAACCCAGGTTTTCGTGTATTTCACTGATTCCCTTGAACCAAGGCCTCTTCTAATTTGGGTCAGTGTATGCACCCAGTGGTTTTGGCTTTGTGATTTTTCTATTCCTATTTCTGGCATAAAAAGAGTCCTTTATCCATTCCAGAGAAAAAATTGAGAGGTAAACACATCAACAGAATGACAGTGCATGTCTGACAAGAGCCATGCGTGGTAAGGAATGCCCAATAAAGATTTTCTTTTTTACCAAACTGATGGACACAGAAGGCAGCGTCATGGAACAGTTGGAAGTGCTTTTGAAGAATTTACATGTGCGTCACTGATGTGACGCTTTGGACAGCTATCAACCATGTCTGCATGAATGCTTTTTACTGAGGCACGACAATGCTGTATGAGAGTTAAAAGCCCGGTAGTTGGAACCAGTTTACTATGTTTAGAAACCATGGACATTTTGCCGACTTACTGGTTACCAGCTACATGCAACCTTTTCAAAAGTGACATACATACTTGTATTATCAAATAAACTCCATGGTTTGCACAAAACTTCATGCACTCCATTCTGACAATTTCTGAGAGTCATGGTTTCATCTGGGATTGAAAAATCTGGTTTGTCTCTTCCCAGTCAAGGTTAAAACCTGCCTGCCCTCTCCAAGGGAAGTTTTTCTTGAGACTGACACACCTTTGTGCCAGCTCAGATCATATTTCCTCTTCACCCAATATGTACATGTAGATGTAGTTTGGAAGGAAATGGGAACACTGGTTCACCAGTGTCAAAAAGTAATGCTTGCATCATTTGCATGTAAAATATGGGAACTTGTAACTTTCAAATAAGTGAAAAAAAGCCTGTCCAAATGTTTTTCTTATGCCGTACCTGTAAATCCTCTGGACAGGGGGCTACACAAAGATGGCACAGTGCTGAGTGCGATTCCAAAACTGTACAAAACCTTGAATAAGTTCAAACAGCATTTGTCATCCTTGTTTTTTTTAATTTATCGGTATGTCCATAATATGTCTCAAACTATAGCAATCTTACGCTGTTTCAATTCTGACACTGGCTTGTGCTTTTCGGTCTCAAAGTGAGAAAGTACAGCTATATGCAAATAAGGGATTAAGAAAAGTGAAGAATGGTACCCCTCTTTGCTCGACAAGGGAGGAATTCCAAGCCGACCGCCCACAGAGCGACTATCTTCAATGGGTGCATTAAGCTCTGATTGAAGCACACTTAAGCCTTGTCAAGAACCAGGCCGAGCACTTCTAAGTTCTGAAGCCAAAACCTTGTAGGGACTGTTTTTTTAATGGCCAATCATATCTACTGAAGACGCCCTTCCTTCCTCCACCTTCTAAGGTACAACACTACTTACATGTTCCACCATGGAATCGTCCACAGCATAAGTCACCTTATGCTCGGCTGAAGCCCTGCCATTCGGCATTCCGAACCCCAAAATATCCTCACCGGTGGGACCATGCAATACCTTTTATTTTTTCTTCCCCCCACAGTAGAGGTGCACTTGTAATCCAGTGTGGAGATTCACGAGCACTGGCGACGCTGACAATGATGTGTAAACACAAATGCACAGGCAAGGACTTCAGGCAAAGTTCGATTTTTCTTTCCCTTCACAAAGGTAGGATTTTGACAAGGATTAATCCTCGGAGATAATGTACTATTCATATGCTGATTGGTTGACAGTGGAGAGGGCTGCACGTTTGAAAGGGAGGGGCAGAGGGAATTCTTAAACAGGAACGAAATATACCGATACCATACACTGATGGATTCATGCCTGTTTTGATAGTGTTAATTATTACATTTTACATGGCAGCCATGTTGTTTTAAGATTAAGTGAATGACAAAGACGGCAGTTTTAAACAAAAATCCCAGATGTTTGTGAGAAAATGAAAACTTTTTAACTCTTATCAATGACAGAACAAAAGAACTTTCTCTTCACTATCAGAATTCTAAAATCAGAACCACCACAGTTGAATTATCAAAGTCTGGTGGCAGAAAATCACAGAGGGGAAAAAAAAAAAGATCCAGCATGCCCGACTGACCCAGCTGAATTGCTCACATGCAGGAGATCTTTAAGAAGACCCATTGGATATCCTGTCTTTTGTACACAGGGTCTTCATCTTCCTCACCGAATGGGTGAGAACAGGAGGAGCGTTAAGGCTGCAGGAAATCACAATGCCAATTCTCCCTTTCTCTGGCGACACTCTGCTCACTTTGCTCAGAGCCAAATCTCAGAGGCGTGTCTGGTGTCGAATAATGCATGATTCCAACAGCTTGAGTGTTTGCAGGACAGTGACACTGCCGAGATTTTGTCATTGTGGTACTTCCAACGGTCCTCTGGAAAAGTTTCACTATTCATTGGATCCATAATCTTCAGTGCCCATACCCAAACCTACCGTGTATGTACCAAATACGCATGCTTGTCTGAAGAAAAATAGCACATGTACCATTCCAATCAATTTCAACTTCAGAATATGCCAAATGTTGATTGATATTAACAATCTACCCCTACATTATCAATGATCAAATCAACCATGACCTATCAACTACAGTAATCATTCAATTGACATTTCTGAGATGATGTATGATGTACATGTATGTAGGTACTAGTACACCATTCCACTGCAGTTTCCCCACCCCTTGGATTTTCATTTCATTCACTAGGGAGTCAGGTAAATTTCATGATGGTGGGTGGTTACAATTGTACTTAGGGCGGCCTTCAGTGTAACAAGATCAACAGCATCAGGGATGATGATGGATGCTGATGGTCCACACGATTTATTGATCTTGTCTCCCTGAGCCAACAGTCCGGTAAATATACCAAGGACAGCAGGATAGGGCTTTATAGATAGAACTCTTAAAAGCCGGAGAGGAGAATAAGAAACAAAACAAGCAAAATTTCACAAGTGTTTGCATACCCTCTTCTGAAGAGGATAAAAAAAACCTCAACTGAACGAAAAACTATCCTTTCATTATCATGATGCTGAAAGATAATTACAAACTTAGCACTGTAGCAAATATTTTTTCCATGATCAGGCATTTTGAAACTTGGTGAACCTTAAGTGCATTTCTGTGGACTGGGTGAGTACAGTAGGTGTCCAATATAGCACTGGTGAGAGCATACCTTTGTATGTACATGTAGCACCAATCATAATACAGGTACCGGGGTATATGTACTGTACATGTACTGTAGTCCAGTCCATGACTGGTGCCTCACACATGGATACGTCCTGCAGAAACTTTGAAGAAGTCTTGAGTATTGTTTTTTGATGGGGGGGGGAGCAATATAAGTAAATGTATACATATGTACAAGTACAGTGCACTGCATGAGGAAACTGCACAACACAGAGCAGCCAAAACCAAATTAAAACCTGACTCTTAAAGGTTGAATGCTACATGCATTACTCACTAAGTGATGTAAGGTAAGGCTTTCGTACCAGTAATGAGCCAGTTAACAAAAAAACCATTCACTCTCTTTTCATCATGGAAAACACACGCTCGCAGCCTGTTTACTTACGGGGTACTGCTACCACAGTACTTAAAAAGAAAAAGCCTAGGCATGGGATTCTCTTTAACGAGTTCTGCAACTGCCAAGGAAGCCTTTCAAGAAGCAACCATTTGATTGTTATGCTGTGGCAACTCTGGGTTTCAATGATGTTGTTCAGAAAGCAAAGCAGACTTTTGAAAATGGCCAAAAAAGTTGAGGTGCCTGGCCAGGGGGGCTCTTGAGTTGTGAGACAACATGCTGAGGTACTTGACAAGTTCTTTTTTTTTTGTCCCACCCCAGCCTCTTCTGGTGATTTTTTTTTGTCCTCCAGGGTTGGAG